AGTAGTTTAATTTATATACTAGTAATCTAGCCTGAATGAACAATCAATCACTCTATTTGTCCCAATGTTAATGGGTAAAAATTCAAGTTGATTTACACAGTAACATCTGATTTATTCATTGCTAACTGCTACTGAACCTTATTCTACTGCCTTGATTTTATATTAGTCTAGAATTAGTCTAGAATCTTTGACTGAATATGTTTCAAACCTGTAAGGTGGCTATGAACTCCACATACAGTTAATGCTGTGCCAAAAGTTGCACGAATATTCAGCTAATCAAAATTGATAATATTTCAAAGTGCTATTTTTGAATTTTGATCGTTGCTATAACAACCTATTGTGTCACAAAAATGACACCAATATTGGGCTGTTTTCTGATACCATGATTGTTGTGTCAACTGATAAATGGTGGGTATAGTGACCCATCGTAATCTAAGTCTTGGAAAGTTCTGGAAACCATTGGGTTTACTAATGAATAATTTTAGCGTGAGGGTGTAGGGGGTTCTTGACACATGTTTGGGTACAGGGATGCCCTCGAGGGTTTGAAATTCTGACTCTGTTTAGGACAAAAACACTCTCGAAACCCTACCCTATGTAGGACAACACCCTCTATTTTAATATCCTGTTTGGGACAAGAGACAAAATATACAGTCACTTGTTTTACAGGAATTTAAACTGTTTCATAAGCCATTCCAATCAGAAAAATCATGTTTGATGCATCTAATACCCATTTATTGCATCTCTACACTTGAACTTGACAAAATGCCATTAAGCATTAAGCTCTAAATTAGTTTCCAAAGCAAAATGCCATCATAACATCAAAAGAAAGGTGATTTTTTTTCAGTACCAAATCAAAGAGAAATGATTAACTCAATTACTGTATGATGTTTCAGAATAAAAACTAGCGGTAAAAAACAACGTTTCGATCTCTCTGAGATCATTTTCAAGTTGAAGAAAAAACGAATGAAATATACATATATAAGTACAACTTAGGGTGTGAGAATGTCAAATGATAAAATATGTAAATGCTAACGCTAAAATGTAAGTGTTAAAATAATAAAATACTATAAAAAAACCTATACTAATAACTTTGCACGGATTGAATCTGACTGTTTATTCAAGGTTGGCTTACGCTCCTTTATAAAGAGCATTTCGTAGATCAGGTAGTCGCATTTACTTTGGCCCTTTCTCAAGATCTTAAAATCATGATATATGTCACTTGGGACTGTTCCATGCTGTTCTTTGATGTGATTCCCGATTGAAGACGATCCTTTGTGTTCCTCAATGCATTGATAGAGGTGTCGGCACGTGTACCCAACATAGTTTGCATCACACAAACCACACTTGTAGTAGTAAACAACGCGTTGCTGGTTAATGATAGGCAGCTTCTTTTCTTTTGGTTTGGTCTCGTGTCCGATCTTGTGGCTTGTATACACGGGATGAATATCAATTACAATTTTTTGGCCTAGTTCCCCAAGTTGTCTTCGGGTGGAATTGGCCGATCTCTGATCCTTGAATGGTAACACTATTCTGACAGGCGTTTCATTCACGTTATGTGCTCGAGTGGAAATTGCATCGCCAGAAACTTTCTTGGTGACAAAATTACTGATGGTTGATTGTATCAATTGCATTGGGTACTGGAGTCGGGAGAACGTCTGTGTGAGACGATCACATTCCAGGTGGAACAGTTGCCAGGTAGATGATAGTTTCAAGGCACGATCCAGCATTTTTTTAGCAATGACTTCTTGTATCTAACGTCGACGTGGCTCTTGTGATGTAGTAATAATCCAGGGTCAGTTGGTTCTCTGCACACCCTTGTCTCCAGGCAACCATTGCATTTCCTGACGTCTGTTCCCAGGAAAGGAAGTTTACCGTGTTCGCCAAGTTCCATGGTGAAGCCGACAGATGAATGGCTCTCATTTAGAGAGGAAAGGAATGCTTCAGCTGTTTCAGTGGTAATAATGCCTTGATGAAAGTACAAACCTCTATCAGTCAATGACCACACCATCAGTGATGTTTTTAATTTTGTGGATTCTCTCCATGACATGGAAGTTGACAATCACAGTATCCTGGTTTTATATGACGTAACTTTGCTCTTTACCAATGTCCCTGTTGATGAGGCGATACAAATTCTAGCTGAAAAGGCATTTAAGGACGACTGGTTCAATAAACAGCATAATCTCAACATTACAAAATCAGCCTGGGTAGAGTTGCTAAATATTGCCACCAAGAACCAACTTTTTCAGTTTGAGGGCAGTACTTTGTTGCAAATGAAATTAAAGACGAGAAGAAACAAAGAGCCATCCTGTTAAGCGTTTGTGGAAGCAAAACATACAGATTAGTTCGTGATTTGTTACAACCCCGGAAACCAGGCGATGCAGGTTTAAAAGAGATCTTAGAAAAGCTGGAAAGCCATTTTTCTCTGAAGCCAAGTGTTATCGTCGAGCGATTCAAATTCCATAGCAAGAGTCACCTTGAAGGGGAAAATGTTGCAGAGTTTGTCGCAGGACTCAGAAGGTTTTCAGAGCATTGCCAGATTGGAGCAACACTCAAAGACATGCTACATGATTGACTTGTTTGTGGAATCAGCAATGATCGCATTCAACGACAACTGTTCGCCGAACGGGAGCTCACATTCAACAAGGCAGTAGAAATCGCTACAGCAACCGAAATGGCTTCAAAGAATGTAATCGATACTGGTGGAAACATGCCTGGGCCCAGATGTGACAACAGTCTAAACAAGGTCAAAGTGGAAACCATAATCCCTCGAGCTGCAAATACAAGAATGAAGAGTGTTACACATGTCAAAAGAGAGGCCACATGGCTAAAGTATGTCGAGGAAAGAAGAAACCTCAAAAGTAAGACAAACATGGGCGGCGGCCAGATGGTAAACAAAGAACCCATTTTGCTGAAGAAAGCGCCGATCAAGACGACGTCTATGCCATGTATCAGCTGTCCAGCGATCAAAAGAAATCGTTCAAAGTGGATCTGGAACTTTGTGGACAAAAAACCACGATGGAAATCGACATGCGTGCTTCGAAGGTGATATGAAATGAAGCAATGTACAGAAGATTGCGTGATGCATTAGGTCCACTCCAGACAACAAAAGCGGTTCTAAGCACGTACACAGGAGAAAAGATTCCAGTACTAGGAGCAGGTATGGTTCCAGTAAAATATGAAAGCCAGCAAAAGAAATTAAACGCTCTCATTGTCAAAGGTGGCAGACCGAACCTACTTGGTCGAGATTGGCCTGAAGAAATTCGCTTGGATTGGGAAACAATCTTTCAGATAGCCAGTGATAGCCCCCGATCAGCACTTCAAGACGTGCTTTCAAAATACCAAGATGTATCTGCTGAAGGATTGGGCACACTAAAAGGTGAAAAGGCGAAGATCTACGTGGATCAAGACATGGAACCAAAATACATCAAAGCCAGAGCAGTACCTTACGCACTGAGAAGAAATGTTGAACTTGAACTCGAAAGATTGGAGCATGAAGTAATTATATCTCCGGTGGAATTCTCAGAATGGGAAGTGCCCATTGTACCTGTGGCAAAACCCAATGGGACTGGGAGGATCTGTGGAGACTATAAACTAACAGCAAATCAAGTGTCCAAACTGTACAATTATCCAATACAGAAAACAGTGGATCTTTTGGCTACCCTGGGAGGTGGTGAGAAATTTACCAAGCTGGACATGTCGCAAGCATATCAGCAGATGACTCTAGATGAGGAGTCTCAGAAGTTTACCACCATAAACACCCATAAAGGCCTATTTCAGTACAATAGACTGCCTTTTGGAGTGTCCTCTGCACCTGGTATTTTTCAGAGGACGATGGAAAACCTCTTGCTAGGCATTCCTCAGGTCATTGTGCGAATGGACAACATTCTCATCAGCGGGAAGGACGACAACAATCACATTGCAAATTTAGAAGCAGTACTCAAGAAGCTGTCAGAAGCTGGGCTGCGGCTGCAAAAAGAAAAGTGTTTCTTCATGGTGTTGGACGTCACCTATTGTGGTTATGAGATCAATGGTCGTGGTATCAAGCCACTAGAAGCTAAGGTGGAAGCCATACACAATGCCCCAGTACCTGAGAATGTTACACAGCTGCGTGCATTTCTGGGAATGCTAAATTACTATCACCGTTTCCTACCAGACATCGCTACAGTACTAGAACCACTCCAAAAGCTTCTTAGACAAGGTACAAAGTGGTGTTGGAAGACCGAGCAGCAGGTGGCTTTTGACAAATCCAAGAAACTACTTCAGTCTGCAAACCTCCTGGTACATTTCCAGCCAGATCTGGAACTAATCTTGGTGAGTGATACCTCAGATTATGGAGTAGGGGCAGTATTGTCCCACCGGATGCCAGATGGAACAGAGCGCCCAATTGGTTACGTGTCAAGATCACTGAACGCAACTGAGCATGGTTATTCCACTATTGAAAAAGAGGCTTTGGCCATCATCTTCGGAGTGAAGCAGTTTAATCAGTTCTTGTACGGTCACAAGTTCACCATACAGACTAATCACAAGCCGCTGGAAGGGCTCTTTAACAAGAAGAAAGCCAAGAGTTCAGCGGTTGGCCCTTACCTTGGCAGCATATGAGTAAAAGATTGCCTATAAAACAGGGACCACAAATGCCAATGCAGATGCATTAAGTTGACTCCCCTTGTCCATGAGGCCAGAGTCTGTTCCTGAACCTGGAGAGACAGTTTTGCTCTTAGAACATCTGGACCACTTCTGCAATCACTCACATCATATCCAAGAATGGACAAGGCGCAATCCTGTTCTCTCAAAAGTGCACCAGTTTGCACTTAATGGATGGCCACACCACTGCCAGGATGTGCAGTTACACCCATATTTGAGCTGGAAAGCAGAATTAACCATAGAAAGTGGATGTGTTCTGTGGGGAAACAGGGTGATAGTACTACCTCAAGGACGAGCATAAGTCATGGCCAAGCTTCACGAAGCCCATCTGGGCATAGCAAGGATGAAAGCCCTTGTACATGGTTATGTGTGGTGGCCAAACAGATCGTGAGTTAGAAGATGCAGTTAAAAAGTGTCAGCAATGCCAACTGCACCAGAAAGCCCCAGCAGAAGCACCTCTCCACCCATGGGAGTGGCCCGGTCAACCTTGGTCACAGGTGCACATTGATTATGCAGGGCCATATAAGGGTGACATGTATTTGGTGGTGATCGATGCAGATTCCATAGTGAAGTTGAGAGAAATCTTCGCGACCCATGGTCTCCCAGAAACCATCCTCAGCGATAATGGTCCCAATTTCACAAGTGCAGAATTTGAGAATTTCCTCTCAAAAAATGCCATCAAACACACCAAAGTATTGCCATACCATCCAGCTTCGAATGGACAGGTGGAGCGAGCAGTTAGCATCTTCAAAGAAGGGATAAAGAAGGGAACCATGCAAGACAAGTTGTCACGTTTTCTGCTCAAGTACAAAACACCACACACAACAACAGGGGTTTCACCATCGGAGCTGCTGATGAAGAGAAAGCTGAGATCTAAGCTTGACCTCATAGTGCCCAACACTGCAAGTCTGGTGAGACAGAAGCAAGAACATTAAAAACAGACCCACGACCACCATACCAAACACAGGGGCTTTGAAGCCAGTGAGCCTGTGTTCATAAAGGACTTCAGTTTCCCCAAGTCCTGGCAAAAAGGAACTGTGGTGCAGACGACGGGCCCACTCTCAGCCCTATTCAAATTACCGGATGATTGAGTTGTTTGACTACATCAGGACCATATGCGGAAGAGCCACAGCCAAGACCCAGCAAAGTCAAATCCTGAGATTTTGGTACCACAAGTGGTACCAGAGGCAGATTGCACAAAAGACGCAACCCAACCGAGTAGCCCAACCAAGCTGGTCGTGAGTTCGTCTCATGCACAAGAGGCTAAACCATCATGCCCGGTCCGCGACCGACATTTACCCGAACGTTTCAAGGACTGTGAACTTTAAAACTTATGACACTGCTTTTGAACATTGATTAGTGATCGGCAAGAATCATTGCGTTACACACATTGCGTAAAAAAACATTATTGATTGATCTTATTACACTTCTGCCCAGTGTTTCTTTTTTTGTTTGGAATAGCAAAAGCCTTAAGGGGGAGGAATGTTATAATCTAGTCACGTGCGGAGTCATGTTATCGGTAATCAGATATCCATGTTGTGTAATGTAGGATTTCAATTCATTCTTCTTTGTGATTATTAAGGCATGTAGATCTACAATTCGCTTCACCCTGATTTATTACATCCCGCATGATCATTGATTCCATAAATGTCCTTCAGAAATCCATCTATGTTCTCATTTCAAAGTAGTGGCTCGACAAATCTTTGGCCAGCTCATGTCTTATCTGTTTGTTAGATCCGTGAAATGCCATTGAAAAAACTGTGATTTTTCTCAGATTTATCCATGATTCCGGCAGCCATTTTGTGAATGCAAAACATCTGGCGTGCCTCGCATGTCGCATTCTTATCTTCAGCCGAGAGCACATCAAAAGCGTCAAGAGATATGACCGTCTCAGTTGCAGAAGCAAAGGTGACCTGCCATTTTACGGGCTTCTGTGGAGAAGCAGTCAGTGAATGACTTTCAGGATTTTTGTGAACACTTGTCTGAAGTTGTCGTTTTGTTGCAAATTCTCCCTGTTTTTTACAGCTTTCACAGAGTGGAATCCTTCTCGGTGCAGGATCTACAGAGAGTGTTAGCTATGCATCTTTCTGGATCTACGCTGCAAAAAGTAATTCTCTCAAGGTTTAAACAGGCTTGTGTCTTTTCAGGTGGAGATTTTAAATGAAACAGTTTTCTTCGTCTGTCAACATTGTTGACAAATCCTCCGCACTAGATACAAATAACTTCTTTCGAGTTCGGGGACACAACGACTCTCAAAAACGTCTTGGTCGGTGTCACCTCTGCCATTTTCTTCCTTTGAGAGGATTGCGTGTAGAACGTGTGAAATCTGAGAAATGTCAATCATGTTTTTTGCGCCAAAAATTGGGGCTCCGACTGACTTCCAGTCAGTGACAGAAAAGGAGACTTAGCAACAGCTGGACCAAGAGGTTTGTGTTTCTTCATGTACAATACACCTGCACATGCTGACTTTGTTATGGATGCGTGCATGTTGAACACAAGAACGGCGACCGTAAGCTGCCGCTAAAAGGAAACAAAAATATAGGATTGATTTACCAGAAGCTACTCTTTCACTGACAAGAAATGAACTTCCC